GTGGAACCGACCTTCGAATCTTTTCACCCAACACTTCTACTCGAAATGGAAGTAATCCCAACAATTAATTATTATAGTTTGTGAAATTGCAAACTCGTTGTCGCAACTTGGTCTTGTTGTCAGGGCGACTTAGTCGAACGCATCCAGCATCATAGCGTGGACTTGATACATTCTCAGACGTTTCGCCGGCCTCGGAGTCGGCATCATCAGTGCGTTCTGCCATTGTCCGCGCCCAGTTACCAACTCGTCAAAGAGACAAGTGAAGTCACTTTCTGTCCTGGCCTATCTATCTACTCTTTGCCCTCTTATCCCACTGCTGCCCAATCACAGCTTCTCACCTGTTTACATTCTATTCGTCCAATGTGGCCACATCACACTTGCTATTCACCCCGACCATCTCTCGTTCGATCTGATGATCCGACTCGGGCCTCCGATCCGGATCTCCTCATTGTCTCGTAGATCCGTTGCTTCTCTTTCTTTCCAGTCCCAGTGCACATTCAACTCCAGCCCATAGACTGTGATTCACATGCTTGCAGGTATTAGGCCTTGCCTTCACAGCTCCTCTCCTTCATTAAACCCACGTTGTCTGAGCAAACTGTGGACGCCTATTTCTGATCGCATGCACCACCTCAAGTGGATTTCCGGTACATTTCGGCCATAACGCCCAATTTCCGTGACGGTTTGCTTGTCCATCTGCCCAGCTCCGAGACTGCCAGGCTCCGATTTCCTAATCACGATCCCTTTTCCTCTGGTTGGCGGCAGATCCTTGATCCAGGCGTCTCCTTTTTGCTGATCTTGCTCTGTTCTTGATTTGCCTGAGTTTGCTTAAGCAGTAGACAAAGTTGTTTCTAACTCTGCCTTCCTCCAATCTCCTGTTCATTACATTTCTCCCCCTAATCTTCCTATTCCTTGTGTTGTCACCGTATGGGGCTCTTCTTTCTGTTGCCTTCCGATTGATCTCGTGTCCAGTCTGTGCGATGTGTTCCGCTAATTCTGATCTTTCAGTATCCATTCGGCCTCTGATGTTCCTTGATTCGTGTGCTAATTTGTCTCACTGTTTCGCCAATACATTTCTGTCCGCAGCCGCCGCATGATCTACAGTAAACTCCTGAACAGTCCAATTTGTCTACTCTTTTGATGTTGCGTCGGTAGACTTGTGAAAAGTGTTGATTTCTCTATCATAGCAACCCGAATATTCCATTTACTCAATATTGATTGGAGTTTCTGAGTTAGTTCGCAGGAAGGTGGGCATATCCACTTTTGTGAATCCTCCATCGTCCTTACGGTCCTTTCATAGTCCCCGTTCTGCCATCGGCTTTTCAAGGCTCGTTTGTCTATTTTTATCACTTCGATTGGGTAGCCATTGTCGAGCAATATCCTCGTCGATTTGTCCAGCTTCTCGTCCCAGAATTCTACATCCGTTGGGCGTAGGTTTCGGATGATCCTGCTCCTCATTATTCCAATCTTCAGCCTGTACTTGTGATGGGACCGGAAATTGAGTATCATCCCAGCATAGGATTTCTTTCTGAACAATTTCTTTTTCAGCGTCCCATTAGAGCGAATCACTTCAGCGTCCAGGAACGATACCCGCTCACCTTCCTCTACTTCCATCGATAATTGAATTTTTCCAGAATTCACTGATGATGCCGACTACGATGCCGGCGAGACGTTTGAGAATGTATCCACTGTCTGATGCTGGGAATCATGACAACTAATATGGCAGACGACTTCGGACTAGGTGCGTTCTACATAGTCACCCTGGCAACAAGACCAAGTTGTGACAACGAGGTCAACCCACTTCTATCAATCGAAAGGAGACTGCAACCATACCAGAGACCAACCCATCTTGGTTTTCATACCTGCAATTAGCAAGTTTTCACCGGAACCGAAGAAGGTTTCCTCGGAAACAGAGTCGCCAAGTATGCTCCAGTAAAGCCGTCGTCTTACAATCGGATCGACCTTTAAATCGGTTCACTAACAACATTCACAGGAAATGTAATGAACTTAAATAACATAATAATTAAGTTTCCCACAACGCTATGATTAGAGCTAATGTTTTCCATTGAATTTCGCAAAAGGTGTTCTCAGCCAGAACTGCAGAAGTGGACACAGTTCCGACCTCGGTTAGGTTTTATCGACTCCCGCTTTGGGATGAGACCACCTATTGGGAAAGCAAGACTATGTGAAATTCAATGGAAAACCACAACTCCAATCATAGCATTGTCCGAAAATTCAACAACTACTTCTTCATCACCTTAAACGAAATAGGGTGAAAACAACTTATATATCGAATTTACTAGTAGTCTCGAAAACCTACTCACTCAGGATAAAAGGAAATTTAATTATCACTCCTTATCGTCCCAGATCTCATAAAGGAATGAAGGACGACAGTTGAATTTTATCATAATCATATGAGTTTTATTGTATTTCACTTGGCCTTCTCCTTGTTATATCACCGTATGCGATCTATGGTGAATATAACTCTTATTTAATATTTGCTGAAAGTTTCGAGACCTACTCAAATTGAAGATACGTAATGCAATCTCATATAATTTAATTTCCCCCAATGAAATGAAAATTCCTCATTATGCCATTGGAGTTCACTCATGCTTTCCTTGTTAAGTGTTTTATCGTTCCTCCTGTATTTTATTCTCGATCTCGCATCGATGATTCTCTTTTTTTTTCTTTAAGGATTACGAACCATCCAGTACTCACATCGAATAATGTACATGTTAGGCTGGCTTGACACGGATCACGTATGTGCTTTAAAGTTCTTATTCAAGCAAAGTTGATAGTTTAGAAATATTGTCACATTAACAGATGAGTAAAGTCTTCGGGTACTACGACAGATATACGTTTGCGTTATCGAAAGACTCCTAATGAGTGCCTTGAAGGCTACATTGGTTCTGTCATCCACTGGTTCACACTTGAAGAACCCGATCCAGGCTGGAATCCCTTTAAGGTTGCTGATGACAACCTGAAAAGTGCAAAACTGGAGTCCAGCTTGAACGAGATATTTTTTCGGCCGGCATGGCTAAACTAATTTTATTTCAATGTGAACATTTGCCGAGACTACCAGTAATTCTTGAAGAGCATCTTAAGTGCATTAATGACTGAAAGTTTAGTTTTCCCGCAATCAGGTGAATAGACTTCACGA